AACTAGGAGTGGTCATGTGGTGTTATGCTGGTCATTAAGACATAAACCCTTGGATGGGAGACCACCTAGGAAGACCAGGTGCTGTAGGCATAAAAAATAAGTAAAGGATTATAAACTGACAAGGTCCTTGCCTCGCCAAAAAAAAAAAGACATAAACCAAAGTGAGATTTTGGGAAAGGTTGTAGTTCCTGATAAAATCAGACTCATGTCAGAAATGTCCTTTGCCTTTCACAGTGTCTGGAGCGTGAATACGTGGCCCTTAAGGTGCAGCAGCCATCTAACGACAACGAGGCCATGTGGTGTCACGTTAGTTATCGTTACTTAACAAATCACCCCCAACACTTAGCGGGTTAAAAAAACGAACATCATCTCAGCGCCTGTGCGTCAGAAGTCCGGGTGTGGCTCTGCAGTCTCATCTGAAAGCTCAGCCGGGGGAGGTCCACTTCTTAGTGCCCTTGTTGGCAGGCCCCAGACCCCCATCAATGGGCTCTTCACAGACCTTCCTCGCAGCATGGCGACTGGCTCCACCGAGAATGGGTGATCTGAGAAAGAACAGAGTGAATACGACGGAAGCCACATGCGTTCTGTAACTTAATCTCTGCAGTGGCAGCCCATCACTTCCCCTGCATCCTATGAGAAGCAAGTCACCAAGTCCAGCCCACACTCAATAAAAGGGAATTGCACAAGGGCAAGAATAACAGCGAGCGGCAGGCATCACCGGGAGCCATCTCAGAGGCCTCCTACCCCAGTGCCATGCATGGACTTACGACCAATCCACTAAAGATGAACAGAAAGCTAGGAAGTGCCTGGGTCCCCAGCGGCACTGTTGAATAGCTACCCCCGTCAAGCCTGCCTCCCTAAATTCCTTAAAATGTGAAAGGGGGGAAAGAGCTCAAAATAAGATACACAGCTTATGACCCAAGATCTCCAATCTTAGGTATTTGTCCAAGAGAAATGAAAACATATGTCCACAAAGAGAATGTAAGAATATTCATAATAGCTTTATTCATAATAGGCCCGAATTGGGAAGGAAAACCCATAAATGTCTATCGAACAGGTAAATAAACAAATTGCAGTATATTCATTTCATGGAATACTAATCAGCTTTTTAAAAGAACAAATTATTGATACATGCGACAAAATGGATGAATCCCCAAAACATGCTGAGTAGAAGTCTTCCATCTTCCACAAAAGCACACACTGTATGATTTCGCTTAACTGCAGTTCTAGAACCTGCAAAACTATGCTGTGGTGGAAAAAATTCCGAGCAGTGTTTGCTTCCGGGGGGTACGGGTGAGGATAGAGGAAAGGAGTCTGAACGAAATGTCTGGGCTGATGGAAACAGTCTGTATCTTCGTAGGGGTTTGTGTTACATAAGTGTTTGCATTTGTTAAAACGTATCGAATAATACACTTGAAACTTGGGCATTTTATTTAAATTTTACCTCAACAAGAACCTTAAGCAGAGATGAACTCTAGATAATGACACATATATTAAAGTATTAAGGGTAAAATGTGCTAATGCCTGCAACTTACATAAAAATGCATTAAAAAAAAGATGCCTACATGGATAAAGTGATAAAACAAGTATAGTAAACTGTCAATGGTACAACCTCGGTGGTTGGTATAAAAGTGATCACTTCAAAATTCAAGTAGTTTGTATGTCTGAAAATTTCCATAAGTTATAGGAAACAAAACCTACTTATTTAAGCCACTGTTCATTAGGTTTTCAATTATTTGCTGTCAAACATATTCTTTCCTTACACTGGTAACAAGGGTTTTCTACAAAATGGATGAAACTAGCCCTAACGTTTATTCATCAATTTAACATTTACTAGGTACCTACAATGTGCTAGATCTTGTGTCATTAGTGGGGGAATGATCTCGTGAGAAAAAAGTCCCTGACGTTGTGAATCTTGTAATCTAGCAGAGAAGATAAATACATACTATCACACAGATAAATTTATTACTACTGTGATCACAATTAGGGAGAAACAATACTAAGGCCCCTGTCAAGGAGACCTGACCCGTGATGGGGTGGGGCAATCAGGGAAGACTTCCTGGAGGAAAAGTTCACGATAGGTAGAGTTAAGGTGAAGAGGAGCGGCAAATATTGACACAAAGAACAGGATGGGCAAATTAGCTAAGGTAAAAGAAAGCGAAAGGAGACTCGTGGCTGAAGCACCTACAGAAAGAGGACGAGAGAATCCGACACACTGAGGACAGGAGCCAGGGGAGCCCACGTTCCACGGGCTTGATTACTCCTCTGCTCCAGATCTTCCACGTGCTGTTCACGTGGCTGCAGGTGCTCGTCTGGCAATAAGCAATCCGACCAGGCAGGCGCTTCCTTGATAACAGGTATTATGTACCTGATGAACCGAAAGGCTATTCAAAGCTACTTTTTATTCCCTTTTATAATTAGGACCCATCTGTTTAGGGAGATGGTGGGTGGACAATATTGGGGGCGGGGGGCTGAGATGTAGCAGCCCCCATCTCCACAGCTTTGATACTCAAACCAAAGTTTCTACCAAGGAGCCTTTTAAAGCAGCGGTGCTCAACCTTTGTGGCACCAGGGATCGGTGCTCCTGTGACCATCTAATGCCTGATGATCTGAGGCGGAGCTGAGGCGGTGATGCCGCGCTGGGGAGCGGCTGCAGATACAGATGGAGCTTCGCTCGCTCACCCCCCTCCACCTCCTGCTGTGCAGCCCGGTTCCAAACGGGGTTGGGGAACCCCATTTTAAAGCTTTTCTTTTCTGGAAAAAGAGAATGACAGCACTAGGATGCCTGGCAGGTCTTTGTGTATATAAAATTTCTCATTCTTCTTGAAATCCAATATTAAAGTTATAAATTTAAAGTTGTAGTTCCTACTTTTCCAAAGCAATGAAGAGATAATCACAATGAAAATGTAGTTACTTTGTATTCTGCTCAACATTTACACTCCGTAGTTTCAGAAACAAATAATCTATGATTAAAAACAGAATAAAAAAAAGGTACAAATTGCCAAAGACAAAGATGAGAAGCCTCATCTTTATCCTGAAAGAGGGTTTTCTCCTCCCACACGGCCAATAGCACAATAGGTCGCGAGCCCTCGCTGTAGAAAAGCCACAGGCTCAGAGTGACTCAGGAGGCCAGGCCTCCTTCCCAGCGGGGTGCCTCGGGACAGTCCGAGCCAGGTACCAGCCTTTGCTGACGCCAAACCCAGCCCCGCTGGCCTGTCCTGGTCACAGAGGAGCCTCCAGGGCTGTCCCTCGCCCTGCTATGCCTCCTTAGCTCTTTCTTCTCACAGAAGTAACACTATTTATTGGGCATCTACTCTGTGCCTGTGCCTTCCATTAATTGTCCCTCCTCCTCCCCAAACCCTGCAAGGTGCTATCAGGCGCCTCGTTTTAATGTCAGTCAGGAATCTTTCTTTTGCCAAAATGGAAAACCCGACTCAAAATGGCTTAAGCGAAAGGGTCTTTACTGGCTCACAGAACCAGAAAATCCTAACAGCAGTTCCCATTCCAGGCCTAGTTGGGCCCATCTCTGCCTCTCTGGTCCACACCCGCCGCTGGAGGTGGTGGGAAGGTAGCAGGATAACTCAGCATCCTCTACCTGCTCCGTTTCCTGTCTCATCACGTCACTGCCTCTGTTTGGGCTTCCTACCCATCCCCCAACCATTCATTTGAGCTGAGTATTTCCGAGCGAAGTCCAGCACCCAGCTCTGAGGTTTCACAAGGGGTCTGAGAATCAAAGGAAAGATGGATGGTCATAAAGCAACTACCATGCAGACTAAGTGTACAACAGCACTTTCTCTCATGCTGGCCAAGCTACTGCTCTCACCCTCTGTGACTTTCGGCCTCCCCCTTGAACTGCTTTTGAAATGAAGTCCATCCCACCCTCCTGCTCTTGGCCGTTACCCTGTCGGCCTGAGCTAAATCAGAAGCCCACGCAAACACTGAGTAGATTCCTCGACAAAGCCAAGGATGGAGCAGTAAAATGAGACGACTCTGACCCGGGTGTCCAACCAAGGGAATAACTGGGACCGCGAGCATCCGGCGCTCTGCTCGCTAAACCTGTGTCACAGTCCAGGGCTGCTCGCACCCAAAGGAAGGGACGTCACGTTACGCTTTCTGCTTTAATTTGCAGGGAAGTGTCCCATGTCCTTACTCGTTGAGCTCAGTCGATTCTACGCTAGGGGATTTCCACTCCTCTCTCCCCCTCCTTTTCTCCGTCTGCCCTTCCCCCGCCCCATCCTGCCTCTCCAGGTAAGATCCATCCACGATGTCCTCTCTTACTTCTTACCTTTTAGGTTCCTTCACCCTCCTCTCAATGGAAGAGACACAGCAGGTTGTCGGGAGAAGTGAACCATCCCAGTAGCTTTACCCCGACTTACCCCCTGCACGTCACAAAAAGTAATTGCAATCCAGCTACAAAATCATTAAGAGGCCATTAATTACGGTCTCTGATGAGCCACCTGTATTTTTAAAAAATATAGAATTAGAATGGAAAACATATGGAAGGGGCTGGCTCTGTGTGACAGGGTAAGTATTATCTCAAAGCATCACTGAGACATGTCTGCTGGGTGCGTGGCTTTCGGTGTTAGAAACATGCTTGCATTTCTTCATTCGAAACCATTTTCTGAACACCTGAGAACCTTTGAAGAGGCCGCTCGTCTCCCAGAAACACTCTTTACCTAGATCTTTGTACGGCTGACTCCCCAGCCTCTCTGTGTCTCTTCCCCACTCCCCCAAACCCCCACCTCTCTCCCGCTCTCTCTCTCTCTCGCTCTCTCTGTCTTTCTCTCTCTCTTTCCTCTTCCCCTCCCCTCCCTCCCTCCCTCCCTCCCTCTGGGTTGTTCCACATTCCTCCAATGAAAGTCCAAAACTCAGGAGAAGCATGTAGTTTTCCAGTAGCTCAGGAACCTTTCAGTCTTCATGCTCTGCTGCCAGGGTCTGGGAAGGTATGAGGCTGAACCGTATGAAATTGCCTTCTTGCAGGTCAAAATGAAAATATTATATTTTTGAGAAAAATAAAAGCTTTATTTAACCAAAATATGCACTGTTAGCATTAACTGATTTCCCCAAATGATAAATTTCCCCGAATATCAAGTGATATACAGCATATTATAAAATGCAGTTTGTTAAAATTTATTTAAATCCTTCAATCACCGCTTCCTAACTGGAGAATGTTGTTTCTCAGAAACGGTGGCCTCCGACTTCTGTGGTCGAATCTAGATCAATTTTTGATACATAATTTCAACTTCCTGACAATAAGATGCTACTACTGTTAGTTTAAAACAGTAAAAGCAGTTTGGATAAAAAGCGGTAACGAAATGCCCTTTCCGGACACCTCCATACGTTCGTTACCAGACCTTTTTTTGGTTGCAATGATGGTTTTGACACGTTTGGGAACTTCGTCCACATCCAACCACTGTCCAGATCACTTTCGATCCCATTTTCTGTCAAAGTCATGATGCTCTCCAAGGCAGGTCTCAGTTCTCCCGAATCTTATAAGCATCTCTCTAACCATCTCAGTTTATGATCAGCCATCACCTGATGTTACCCACCTGTCTAACTTTTTCACCTTTCCTATTGCTGCCAGGTGTCGAGAAATCGTGGTAGCAGAAACTCCAAAGTCTGCCGCAAGGCCTCGAATTGCCGTTTGGGGCTTGGCTTCCACCATGGCTCTCAACCGATCTTCATTTAAAACAGACCTGGGTCTCCCTCGAGGCTCATTTTTCAGACTCAGATCCCCAGAACGAAACTTTTCAAACCACCACCGGATAGTCCTTTCACTAACAGAGCCTTCTCCAAAGACAGAAATGATGTTTCTACTTGCCGCGGCTGCACTATGTCCTAGTTTAAATTCATATAAAAAAAGTATTCGCAAATCTTTCAAAGATATGGTATTGTTCATTTCTGTGGAGAAAACAAACAATAAGAACTCAATCATCAAAGGAAAGTCAAGTGCATAAATATCCTTACGAACACTAAACACCACCACTGAAAACAGACCTGATATGACCTTCGGCAATCACGCTCGGGTTTCAACCTGCCTAGTGTTTGCCATCTCATCTGGAGGATGCGTGTTTTCATCACTGCACGCAGATCTGCTGCCATCAGTTTATAGCAGGAGGATGTTACTTTTCAGTCTTTTGGTTTTCCAATAGGAATATAATTTCCAGTAATTTTATAAATTCATGATTTTATAAATTCCTTCTACCATAGAAGAAATGCTTTTGACCTAAAATATGAGTTGTGCTTTGCAATCCAGGAACTCAGTGCCTACCGAACAATTTTTTCAGTACTGTCAAAGTAAGATCTCAGATTGATATAATGCTTGGAAAAATATGCTCCCATGATGGGTTGATAAATCCGTTTCTTACGTTTCGTGACAGAAGTGCTTTTAGGTCTTCCTCTCCCTGTCGCATTGATCTGAGTGACTGCGACTTCAGAGCTCCGTTTTCTAAGTCTCATCTACTGAGACTTTACGTTCTTTCACCTATTTCGCTCCTCTTGGTTTGACACTTAATTTTGGGGTAGATGAAGAAAAATAACGTGTTTTAAAGATGCGAAAGAACTGCTCGCCTAAGTTCTCATTTTGCCCTGGCAGTCACGCACTCTAAAGGGCACGACAGTACACTGCCTAGTGTATTTTTTAAAACAACCATACATGTTTCTTAAACCCAAAAAAAGGAGAGAGATTCAGCAGAATTCTGGACGTTTGGTGTGAATCTTGGTGGAGTCAGGGGGAAGGTTTCTTTTTCGGCAGCTTTAATTCCAGCCCCTTATCAATATTAGCAGAGTGAGTGGCTTTATTTTAAGTCTCTAATTTACTGAACGCCATTTACCCTGCTGTTCCTAAATGGAACAGAAATCGAGAGAAAGGCCTCCCGTCGATGTTGTAGATTTAATTGATGCAAGAAGCCACCTCATCCACTTCAAACATGCTAGTTAAGATTCGACCCACAAACAAAACCTATTTTAAAACACAGCTAAATCCGGAAGCAAAAGAGAGAATTTCCCAAATGCATAAAAGAAGGCTGGGGCGGGGGTTGGGGGTGGGAGGCTCAAAGCCACTGTGGTTAAGGGACACGTGACTAGAATTCATATCTCAGAACTACATACAAATAATGGAACAATCTGAAAAAGAGACATTTTAAGACAAGACATTTTAAAAGATGCCTTAAATGTTCAAAGAGAAAACAGAAATAGAATCCGTTAGGCGAGAATAGGCCACTGCAAAGAAAGAAACCCCACGTTACACTTAGCTGTCATGCCTCCTCCTCTCTCCCGGTTCCTGACGGCGCCTTAGTCTTCCCTCATCCTTCAGGACTTTTTCTCTTTTGAAGACGACTGTTTTGCTGTTTTGTCAAATATACCTCATTTGGGTGTGGCTAATGTTTTCTAATGACTGAACTAAGGCTATGCATTTTTGGCAAGAATCCCCCAAAAACCATGTATGCTTGTCAGCGCATCATGTCAGTTTCATGATGTCAATATGTTTATTGTGATGTTCACTTTGCTCACTGATTAAGGTTCATTTCGGCAGGTTTCATCCCTGTGAAGTTTTCTTTCCCTTTGTGGTTAATGAAGATCTGGGGTGAATACTCTGATGCTACACAAATTTTATTTCTCCTCAAATTTTCACTCACTAATTTAACCATCCACTGGTCTGCAATAATTATTCCTGTGTTTAGCCAATGCTGATTTTGATTTCCCTCAATCCTTCCACAGTTATTAACTGGAATTCTACTATAAAGAATTGTCCCTTCCCCTCATTTTTTATTTATAATGTGTGGACTCACAGAAATTTACTCTATTATTCTACAGTTACAGTCCAATGATATTATTTCTCTTGCTTGACTTGTCCCAGCTTTGGCGATGAGGAACTCCTTCAGGCTGGTTCCCATGTTCTTTCGACGCTATCCCTCCCCCTTTTTTAAAGCACTTCGTTATTATCTGGCATACCCAGAGATTCCGTTCGCAGGGATAAACCCAAAAGAACTGAAAGCAGGGATTCGAACAGACACCTGTACACCAATGTTCACAGCAGCATTAATCACAATAGCCAAAAAAAGAAAACCACCCAGTGTCTATCAACAGATGACCAGGTAAACAAAATGTGGTATGTATATATACACATATGAGTAAAATGAAAATTATTCAGCTACAAAAAGGATTGAAATTTTAATATGTGCTATAATGTAGATAAATCTTGAAAAAAATTATGCTTAGTATTGAGCCAGGCACAGAAAGACAAATACTGTACGATTCCACTTATATGAGGTATCTGGAATAGGCAAACTGACAGAAACAGAAAGAACAGATTGCCAGGAGCTGGAAAGAAGAGGGGGAAGAAAGGGAGAAAATTTTTAATAAGTATGGAGTTTATGTTGGGGATGATGAAAAGTTTTAGGTATAAACAGTAGCGATGATTATACGGCATTGCGGATATATTTAATGCCACTGAACTGAAAATACTTACAAATGGTTACAGTGAAAAATACTATGTATATTTACCATAATAAAAAAAAAGAAAAAGAAAAAAAGGTCCACCTGTGCCCTAATTTGAAATACCACCTTTGCCATATACTAACTTTCCATATGAATTTGGGTCTATATTTGTACTGGCTTCATATTTTATTGGCTGGTAGGGTAGTCAACCCTCATAGTTTTTAAGTGTTTACCTGGCTATTTTTAAAATTAGTTTTATTGAAATATAATTCACATACCATACAATGCACTCATTTATAGTATAAAATTCAAAGGTTTTTAGTATATTCAAAGGGCTGTGAATCTAATTTTGGAATATTTTTGCCCTCCGAAAGAAACCGAACCCACTGAGTTATTCCCCATTCCCCGCCATTCTCCTCCCAGGCCTACACCATTCATCTATTTCGTGCCTATAAATTTGATTATGTGGGTATTTCCTATAATTGGCACGGTAAGGTATGCGATCTTTTGTGACTGGCTTCCTTCACGCAGCACATCTCCACGTCATGCACGATGTGGCGCGTGTCGAGGGTCATGCGCGATGTGGCGCGTGTCGGTACCTCCTTCCTTTTCACTGTCACGTGACGTTCCATTCTATGGGTGCACCACATGTGCTGAGCATCAGTCCATGGACATTGGGGCTGTTCCACTTTTCAGATCTTATGAACGATGCTGCTAGTAACATTCATGGACAAGCTTTTGTGTCAACTTGTCTTCCATTCTCCTGAGTGTGCACGCGCCTCAGAGCGGACCCGCTGGGTCATACTGGAACTCCACGTTCACCCATCTGAGCAGCTGGCCGATGGTTCGCACTCCCATCGGCAGCATGTGAAGCTTTCGGTTGCCCATTTCCGCACCAACACTTGGAACTTTTTTACTAGTGCCAGCTTGGCGTGAAGTAGCAGCTCACGATTTCGATTTTCCCTTCCCTAACGACTATTAACATTGAACATCTTTTCATATACTTATTGGCCATTCGTAGATCTTCTTTGGACAAATTCTATTCAAATCTTTTGCCCATTATTTCAGTGGGGTTACTTCACTTATTACTGAGGCATGAGAGTTCTCTGTATATTTTCAGAACAAGTCCCTTATCAACTACAACAGCACGAGGCTGTCTTAGTAGCAGATTTATTGCTGTGAGCCCAAGATACACAGCACCTGGTGCGTGTCAGGCTCTCGATAAATGTAATAAATCTACTCCTGTTTGGGGTTCACTTCTGTTAGAACATCTTATTTTAGCATAGGAAAAAAACAGGAGTCACAAAAACCTACCTCCTCTGAATACACTTACTGAATCAGCAATTTTTTAGATAGCCTAAATTAGTGGATCAAACAAAATAACTAGGACTTTAAAAAATTATATCACTGCTAAAACCAAGATTCCCTTTCTGCCAGTTAACGATTTCAAATTAAAATTTCTCGTTAAAATGTATTGCAAAGTTTATCAGTATCATGTTAAAGTGGATAAAGAACAAATCAGCATCATAAATTGACTTATTGTATCTAATAAAAGCCAAAGATGTACTTCAATAGATTTTAATATTATAACTTTACCAGCAGAATTTTTTAACTCACAAAAATTCATTTTTAATTTTCATAATAGATACCACAAAGATGGAAAAGTTGGTAAATTCGCAATTACCTGTACAAGGTGATGATTTCTCTGAGTGTTTTACTTTTAGAAGTTTCCTATTAATAAATACATAACCACAGGGACAAGATTTACATGCAACAGGAACCTGGAGGGGGAAAAAATATATATATTACGTTTTACTGTTTATTAAACTTCTCAAGTGTTTCTGTGGTCTCTTCAACAAAACAATAAGTAACTTGAAGGCAGAAATCACACTTATATTTAAATTCCACACCCTCATCAAAATTATTTGAAATAAAAATCGTATCCGTTTTCCGAGTCCTCTACAGTTCCGTGCACGCAGCGAATGTTTAATAATGCCGACGGGAATGCGAAGCACAGAAATTATTTCCTACAATGTCAGTCTCAGAGCAGTCCCAGCATGGATTAGACTAGAAGACAGGATCTGGTTTAGGGATGATTCCAGTTAAGCCCAGGGTGAGAGGCTGCTGCCTGCTCTGCTGTTCTGGCCGAGGCTGGGTACTAAAATACGTATATATCTGACAGACATTTCACAGGAAGGAAGGAACAAGACTTGGTCACAAACTGATTGCTGACAAAAAACCAGAACTGAAAAGGAGTCTAACAGTCTGAACATGAGGGGAAGAGGACCAGACACTAGCAGGTTGAAAGAATAGGAAAAAGAAACACCACTATGCGATAATAGAAAATACACCCACGTTTTGGCCTCTGCCCCACGTGCCTGGCACAGGGCTCCTGGAAGCCTTGTAAGTTCCTGAGTGATATAACAGCACTAGGAGCATCTGCTAATATCTGGTCTTTGAGCCCAGGTCCTGACGCAGAGTTCCTAAATCCCTTGGAATTTCCTGGATAATAGTGATGTCTTTCACCTTTCAAGATGAAACACTGCACACACAGGAAATAGAAGGGAATTTCCACAACATGATAAAATGCATTTATGAAAAACCCACAGGTATCACTCTCAACAGGAAAGACTGAAAAGTCTTTCAGTCTTTCTCCCAAGACCAGAAACAAGACAAGCAGATTTGCTTCTGCTGCTTTTTCTCAGCACTGTAATGGAAAGCCTGAGAAATTAGGCAAGAAAAAGAAAGAAAAGGCATCTGTATTTAAAAAAAAAAGAGAGAGAAGTAAAAATAAATAAATAAGAGCAGTAAATCTATCTCTATTCACAAGTCACATGATCCTATATGTAAAAAACCGTCAAGAACACACACACACACACACACACACACACAATATTAGGGCTAACGAAGGAATTCAGCAATGTTGCAGGATACAAGATCAACAAACAAAAGTCAGTTTTATTTCTATACAGTAGCAATAAACAATCCAAAAACAGAATAAAGAAAATAATTCTATTTATAAGACCATCAAAAAGAGAAAATAATGAGGAGTAAGTTTAAACAAGATGTAAGGCTTGTACACTAAAAACTATAATCATTGCTGAAAAATTAAAGACCTAAATTAATGGAAGGATAACAATGTTCATGGATGGGAGGTCTTAATATTGCTAAGATAATAATACTTCCCAAATTGATCCATAGATTCAATGAAATACTTATCAAAACCCCAATGGTCTTTTTCTCTGGAAATGGAAAAGCTAATTCTAAAATTCACATGGATTTGCAAGGGCCTCTAGAAAGCCAAACAGTCTTTAAACAGAGGAACGAAGCTGAAAGACTCACATTTCCTAATTTCAAAACTTACTAAAAAGATACAGTGATCAAAACACTAAGCACTTCTGGTTTCCAGTTCCAAATATAAGGAGCATGAAAGTCACCACTTCGTCCCAACAAGTAAAATGCTGAACAAACTGAAAAATCAACAACTCTTCTTAGTAAAAACTGTAAGAGAAGGATGGTCCCAGGGCAAACCACTGCTTCCAAAATTGAAGAGACAGGTGAATACAGAGAATCTCAACGTACCAAAGCAGAAAGTCACATGCAAAAAACTCTATGGGAACCAGTGCCAGCCCAAGAAAAACTCATCTGTAATTGATGAACTGCTGGAGGTAAGACGTGGACAAGTCAGAGTTTAAAGCTCCAGGACACTCAGTCACGGGATGTCCCCCACGCTTCTGTGATTTTCCACTTCTAGAACAATCGGGTTCTCACAGTAATTGTCAGAGAAAAAGCTCCTGGTGCTTGCCTGCTTCCAGAGGGAAAAGGAACCACTCTAAAATATACTGGAGCGCTCCATTATTCTTAACAAGCCCTGCCCTCAGGAGGAAATAACCAAAGCCTAAACTGCTAGGGTTTTACCAGCCCCTAACTGACCCGGGGGAAGAAATATAACCAACTCCAGTACACTCTAGCCATCTAAGGGGAGGTTTGGAGGGGAAAACCCACTTACTAGCGGGGGACCTACTGAGAAGCACTTGTGAAGTTCACAGTCCAGAGGCACAGGCTCACCAAAAGGCTGAGACCTGATCACAGGACTATAGAATACTTCACTACCTCCTACATCTTAACGCCACATTACTAAAGTCGTTTATAGCAATTCCTTTTATAGCAATTCCTTTTACATAGTCCATCGGGCCCAACTACCAAAAAAAATTACAAGGTATACTAAAAGGCAAAAACACGGTTTGAAGAGACAGAGCAAAGTATCAGAACCGGATATGCAGGGATGTTGAAACTATCAGACCAGGAATTTAAAACAACAATGATTCCCAGGCTAAAGGTTTTGATGGATAAAGTAGACAGCATGCAAGAAGGGTTGAGAAATGTAAGCAGAGAGATGGAAATCCTAAGAACAAACGAAAAATAAATGCCAGAAATCAACATCACTAACAGAAATGAGGAATAACTCTGATGGGCTTATTAGCAGACAACACAGCTGAGGAAAGAATTTCTGAACTTGAGGATATATCAACAGAAACCTCCAAAACTGAAAAAGAGGAGGAAGACTGAAAAAAAGAAAGAAAAAAAAAACAGAACATAATATCCAAGAACCGTGGGACACCATCAGAAGATGTAACATACATGAAACGGGAACACCAGGAAGAAAAAAAGGAACGGAAGATAGATTTGAAACAACAATGACCGAGAATGTCCCCAAATTAATGTCAGGAACCAAACCGCAGATCCAGGAAGCTCAGAAAACACCAATCAGAATAAATTCCAGAAAAATTACACCTGGGCATATAAACTTCAAACTACAGAAAATCAAAGGTTAAAAAAAAAAAAAAAAAAAAAACCTGAAAGAAATCAGCGGGAAAAAGGGAAAACACCTTATAGGAACAAAGAATTACATCTCCTCAGGAACCATGAAATGAAGAAGACAGTGGGGTTTAAAGTGTTGAGAGATAAAACCACCAACTATAATTCTGTGCCCTGAGAAATTAGCCTTCAAAAAGAAAGGAAGAGTAGACTTTCTCAGAAAAACAAAAATTGAGGGAATTTGTTGCCAGTAGACTTGTCTTCCAACAAAGGTTAAAAGTTCTTTAGTGAAGGAAAATAATACAGGTCAGTAACTTGGATGTATATAAAGAACATCAGACAAGGAATAGTGAAGGTAAAATAAAAACATTTTTTTCTTTTTCTTAATTGATCTAAGACAAATCTGTTACAATAACAGTAACAACACATGCAATTATGTATGTTTGTGTACATATCTTCGATGTGTATGTATGTTTATGCATATGTAAACGTATGACAACAATAATACAAGGAATCGAAGGGGAGAATTAGGGTTATTTTGTTTTTATCAGGTAATCACACTTCGTAAGCAGTATCGTGTCATTTAAAAAGTAGAGATGGGTTATTTGTAAACGTATATTAGAGACTATCAGGCAACCAATAGAAAAAGTATAAATGGTGTGCCAAGAAAGAGAGAAAATGGAATCATGTAAAACACTCAATAAAAACCACAAGAGGCAGAAAAAGTAGGAGAAAAAAAATAGGAACAAAGAATGGGGCGACAGTTAGAAAACAGTAAAAACACAGTACATATTAACCCAACTAAATCACTTTGAACATCGATGGCCTAAATGCACCAATTAAGAGGCTGGAGAGTGGATCAAAAAACAAGACCCAACTATACAATGTCTACAAAAAACTCACTTTAAATATAAAAATACAAATGGATGGAGAAAGATGAACTACAGTAACGCTAATCAAAAGAAAGCAAGAGTAGCTACATTAACTTCAGACAGTAGAGACTTCAGAGCGAGAAAAGTTATCAGGGATAAAGCAGGGCATTACCGAATGATAAAGCGGTAAAATTTCCAAGAAGACATAATCCATAATGTGCACGTGCCTAACACCAGAGCATTAATCTACCCGAAGCAAAAACCGACAGAACTGCAAGGAGAAACAGACAAATCTATCATTATACTTGAAGACTTCAACACCCCTCCATCAGACTGGACAGATCCGGCAGGCAGAAAAATCAGTAAGGACACGGTTGAACTCAATGACACCACTAATCAGCTGGATATAATGGACATCCATCTTAATGTGTTCAGGCTGCTATAACAAAATATCACAGACTGGGTAACTTGTAAAAAAACAGAAATGTATTCCTCACATTTCCGGAAGCTGGAAATGCTAAAATCAAGGGAACAGCAGGGTCACATTTTTTGTGAGCACCTTCTTCCTGGTTCATAGCAGGCTCCTCAATGAGTCATCCTATGGTGGAAGGGCTGAGTTTTTTGAGCCATGTGTTATTTGAATTGTGTTGTTTAATCTCCATGTATTTTGTGGCTTTCTAGTTCCTATTACTGATTTCTAGTTTAATTCCATTGTGATCTGAGAAAAGACATTGTATGCTTTCTATTCCCTTAAATTTGTTAAGGTGTGTTTTACCACCCCAACAGTTTTTTTTAAAACTCCAGTGAATCGGTTAAAGAAAAAACCCCACTGTAGTACTGGTGTAAGAATAGACACAACCCAACCATCATTTGTGATGCAACGATTTTCAAGAATGGTGCCAAGACAATTCAGTGAAGAAAGAATAGCCTCTTCGACAAATGGAGCTGGAGCGGCTGGAAATCTTCATGCAAAAGAATAAAGGTGAACTCTCACTTCGTACCATATACAAAAGTTAACTCAAAATGGATCAAAGACATAAATATAACGAAAGCTATAAGACTCTTAGATGAAAAAAAGGTAAATCTTCGTG